TTTGAATGCAAGTGTGCATTTATGTGTAGTGTTTGTTTTTGAATGTAGGAGTGTGCTTGTATGTAGTGTTGACGTTTCAATGCAGGAGTGTGTTTTATATGTAGTGTTGAAGTTTGAATGGAGGGGTGTATTTGTATTTAAAGTTGCGGCTCAGATGCACAGGTACACACTCTGGCGCACAAGCAGATACACAGATACATACACTGACTACATACTGATAAACAGGCACATACACTGACAGACACACTGACACAGGTACATATATTGACACACACACAGACACATACACTGGTAGACGTACTGACAGACATACTGACACAGGCACAGGCACAGGCACATATACAGACATACTGACACACAGACACATATACCGACATACTGACACACACACACAGACACATACACTGATCAACATACTGACACACATACACTGACAGAAATACTGACACCCACACACTGACAGATATACTGACACCCACATACACTGAGAAATACTGACACGCACACACAGGCACATACACTGACACACACAGACTGATATACTGACACACACACACACGGACATACTGGCACACAGACAGATATACTGACACATGCATACACATGCACTAACAGACATACTGACGCACTGACAGACATACTGACACATACACATACTGACACACACAGATATACACACACATATATACTGACACACAGACAGACAGACATACTGACACACACACACAGACATACTGACACACACACAGACACACTAACACACACACTAACACACATAAACTAACACACACACATACACTAACACACATACACAAACACACACACTAACACACATACACATACACTAACACACAAACACATACACTAACACACACAAACACACACACTAACACACATACACTAACACACACAAACACACACACTAACACACATACACTAACACACACAAACACACATACATACACTAACACACACATACACTAACACACAAAAACACACACACACAAACACACACACACAAACACTCACACATTAACACACAAACACACATTTTTTTT